AAGAACAAGAATGGGGACAGCAGAGGGGAAGGAGCCATGGAGGGGATCAATGGCTTGGTGCAGAGCAGAGAAGGACATACCAAGACGAGCTGTGTATTGATCTCCTGTGCTGTCACAAGCCAGATCCAGGCTGCAGGTTGCTGACCCCCTGCCTTACTCTACTTCCTGGTACAAGTGTTCAGGAAGAGAGCTGATCAGGCTCCATATTCATTTACCACTCTGACAATACCAAAACACTAGTACAGACCCATAAAACAACTAAGGAACCTTTGTCTGAAGGTCCCAAGGGAGATTTCACCTCAGGCTTTTCTCTTTAGTATATCAAAAGTCTGATATGAATATGGTTGAACTCTTTACACATACACACTCTTCCCACTTCATTGTGCATAAAACCAATAGATTTATTTTTGGAAAAAACGATCTAATGTAATATTGACTGTTGGTACCCATCAAACCTGGTCTCCATGCTTGCTAAACTACAACAAGATTATTCCTACGGAGCCACAATAGCGTATTGACTGGACTATATTTTTTAATGCTTTGTAAAATGAATACAAGAATAATGTTTACCAGTTGATGAATTGCTGCTGGCAGCACGACCATTTTTGAGCTACAGAACAGTGGTTGTTCTGGCTCTATGCATGCAAAGGGTAGTGCAGGGACTTAAACAGCCTCAATCATTAAACACGCAAGAGCCTGCATGCAGTTACATGCTGGATGTGACTATTCCCCAAACCTTAAACACCCAGAGGAAGTGTTTGTTCATCTATTTATACAATCATTTTTGTCCCACTTAACAGGGATGCCCAGGTTTCACCCTGGGCCCCGAGGAGGATCTGAACTGCATGAGTTCCTCCCAGGTAGTAGTGGGGTTTGGGAATGGGCAGTGGCGCAGGGCTAGATTTGGGTGGCAGCAGGGGTCCAGGGCAAGGCTACATTTGGGTGGAGGGACGAGTCTGGAAGGCTGCTGTTAATGGCCATACCCATCGGGATCCAGGGACCCCAAATTCTGTGGTATGCCATGCCCCCCAAACTTCCAGTAGCCCATCAGACTACTAGCAGGCCAGACAAAACAATTCTGTGGGCCATGGGTTGTATGTTTGACACCCCTGACCTACATCATTCATTTGGGACCTCCACATTGGAGTTACTGTGCTACAGAATTTATTGGCAACAGCCAAAGATGCGTTGCAACAGTGTTGGTGGCCAAAACACTGCTCACTTTGTGCTTCTTGGCTGAACTTGTTCTATGAGTATTAATACAAATTAGACAAGCAAATGAGAAACTGGCTGAAATCCATGCCTGTGCAGAGGGCCACCGCAAGGTTTATTATGCACCCCTTGTAATCCAAACAAGGTCCAACATGGGAAATGAAAATGGTTCAGGGGCTGGGGCACATGACTTCTGAAGAGAAGCTGAGGGAACTGGGCTTACTGAGTCTGCAAAAGAGAAGATTGAGGGGGGATTTGATAGTAGCCTTCAACTCCTTGAAGGTGGGTTGCAAAGAGGATGGAGCTGGACTGTTCTCAGTGATGGCAGATGAGAGAACAAGGAACAATGGAATCAAGTTGCAGCAAGGGAGGTTTAAGTTGAATATTAGGAAAAACTCTCTCACTAGAAGGGTGGTGAAGTACTGAAACAGGTTACCCAGAGAGGTGGTGGAAACTCCATCCCTGGAGGTTTTTAAGATGCAGCTAGACAGCTTTGGCTGGGATGATCTTGTTGGGGATGGTCCTGCTTTGAGCAGGGGGTTGGACTAGATGCAACCTCCTAAGGTCCCTTCCAACCCTCATTTTCTATGATTCTATGAGATTCAAAAGGTGGCTAGGCTGTATGTTTGCTCTTTCCAGAGAGCTGAATTTCATCCCATCCATAATGATAAAGCCAATGCTCTAAAGTAAACCCCATGCTGCTGGCCTCAGATTACAGGAGAATGTGAATAGCTAAGCTGGATAGAAAAGCAAGTATCAGCCTTCTCTCTGATACTGAGGAGAATACAAACCAAAATCATCCTTATGAATAATTTGGATCAAGGCTGATCCGGCTCCCATTGTAGCCAACGGGAACTAGATTGAGCCCTCTGACATCTGCTAGTCTGATCATCCTTACAAGCAGCAGTTTGGGGAACAAGAAGTAGAAAACAAGCTATTATGTAAGCACTATGCATATAAATGTTTCTGCTGCCAGTGTATAAGGTATTTTTGGATCTGCTGAAACACTGCTCTTTTCTTCCAGGGTTTTGCATTCCTGTTTCCCTAGAATTGCATAACCCAATGCCACAGGAAACAAATGATGCTGCATAATATCTCCTAAAACACCTCCTGAGCAGAAAAGATGGGACCACCTTCTTGGGGATATAAATCTTTGTTCATTTTTCACACGGCTTATTCTTTGCTTGAAGCTGGGCTGGACTCGGGTTTGCCCTTTGTGTCTCTCCTCGCCTTTTCGTCAGCTGCCTCCATTATATGAAAAATCCTCTAACACTCAATTCTGCATTTCAGAGCTGTCTAACCAGTGACCTGTGGATTGCACTCAGTGTCCACACTCCCATCCAGCCACTGCTACCTCTGTTGCTCCAGGTGCAGCAGCAGCAGTAGCCAGGGTCTCAGGGCTCCCCCTCCCTGCCCAGCTTCCACTGCATGTCTTCATCTCATGGGGAAACCTGTAGAGAGCAGAAGGGGAGGCAGGGTATATTGGGGAGCACTCAGGATGCAGCATAGTGAGGAAGTGCCCACCCAGCCACTTGGAAGTTGGACCGCCCTGCTGTACTTCACAATGTTATCGTGCTGGTCTATGGCAACTCCCTTCCCGAGCCTCAAAATGTCACCCTTGCCTTTCCCCACTTAAGACCAAAAGTGTTACATGTGAAACAGGTTACTGCACAGAAAAAGTTCTTCAAGAAGATGTACATCAACCCTAGTGCCCCCTTGACGCTATGACATTAAAACATGAGAACAAGTAATGAGACTCTAACTCTACCCCATGCAATATATTTTGTCATTTTCTCTACCCTGTAATATATGAGATAAACATTACACCTTCCTCCTGGGTTATTTTAAGGATGAATGAACATCTGCAAGATATTACCGCTTCCACGAGTTTTGATTCCTTGAACATCTGCAAAGCATTTTAAGATGGCGATCACTACAAAAGTTCAGAAATTCAATGAAAAAAAATCAAAGATTCTGAGTTCAGCATGACCTCTTTTAACCCATTCAATAAGAAGAATCATAGAGAAGCAGGAATGAAAGGGACCTCCGGAGGTCATCTACTCCAACCCCCTGCCCAAGGCAAGATCATCCCTATCCAAACCATCCCACAGAAATCCATCATCTAACCCAGTGGTTTTCAATGTTTTTTCATTTGAGGACCCTCAAAAATTTTCAAATGGAAGTGCAGACCCTAAGTGTGGGTATTCACATACATCTGATTGATCATAGTCATCTTTCACATACCCCTTAGACATAGTCTGTGGACCCACAGGGGTCTGAAGGCAACAGGTTGGAAAACCCTGGTCTAACCAATTAGGAAAACCCCACACTGAACCCTGACACAACACAAGACTTAACATCCTAACCTGCCACAGGTAAAGCAGGGGCACCACAATGCCCAATCTCCTTCTTCTGTAAAGTCTATTAATATATGCTCAAGAGACACCAGGAAGAGGGCCACCACCACTCCCACCCCGGCTAGAGAAGACAACACATAGAAATCTGTGCATCCACAAATCTGCTAAAAAAGCCTGTATATACCCAAAGATATTTTCTACATGCTTTCAAAAGACAGAATTAGGTTTCCTTTCCCTACAGTGTGCATATGCTTCCATTCCTTTATTCATAAAAGAGCTACCTGGGAGATAATGTTTTCTTTCCAGTTCCAGTAGAACAAGATGGAAAAGATATGTAACAGATGTGTGCGTTATATTAGACCCGATTTATCAAAGAAGTCTCCAATTATTAATATTGGGAAAAATTCCCAATGTACAGGGACCTAGCTTTCCATGAGTGAATTCCCAGGAAGATCAGTTCTGATATACATGGCAGTACATAGACACCTCCTATTTACATGCATATAAACATGGATTTCTGCAGATACAAAAGCACACTCTGAACTATATGCCCCAATTTACCCCCCAAATTATCTGGCTACAGGTCTTACCGAGCTTGTCAAAAACACACCGATTCATTAAGCTGCATACGTTAATGACAGCAGCAACTGAAAGCAAAGCACATTTTCATGTTCCTGTCAGGTTTCTGGCACGGGATGTCAGGAGATCTGAGCTCTCCTTCTCTTTCTGCCATTGAACTTCAGTATGACTTTGAGCTCAAGTCACTTCACCTCTATTTCCGCATCTTTAAAGTGAAGACCAAGATGTCTGCCTTCTCTGTAACACTCTTTGAGATCCTACATGCTGAGCATTATAACAGGTACATTGTCTTATATCTAGACTGTCCAACCGGAGGCCCATAGGCTATATGAGGCCTGTGAGTGGTTACACTGAGACCCTCCGGGCTCGCCCCACCAAATTTGCAGTTTTTAGTCACATTTGGCTGCTAAAATTGGTCACAGAGGAAAAAGAGGGTGGAGATTTCAGTCGGCACAGGGCTCTCCCCTGGGTTCTGGAATTGTGCTTGTATGCCGTCACCATCAGAGGAGAGTCATCCGGCCTGCAAGAAGCCCTGTCATCCAGAGCGGGCCTATGGGACCAAACAAGTTGAACACCCTTGCATTATATAATAAATATCCCAAGAAGGAGTGAGGAACAAAGACAACTATATTTTCTGGTCATTCAATCACCAAGTACGGTTCCTCCTAAAGAGATTTCTGTCAGTTTTTACAGATTTAATTCATGCAGTTTCCTTCCTTCTATCCCTCTCGATATGAACTCAGGTAGTTCCAGTGGGGGGAATTTTTTTTTTTGATTTGCAACCACTATAAAATTATAACAGGGAAAAGAACAAGGCCTCCTGAAGCAGAAGTGATGACATTTCATACTTACTAAATGTCTTTCTCTCTTACAACCAGCTTCAAAAAACCATCTATTGGTCTGCCACAGAACCTGGAGATGACCAACAGAGATGACCAACAGTATTATCTCATTGCCTTGTATAAGAGAATACTGGCACTAATGCAGAAGGAAAGTGATATGTGGAGCAATCGCTCAGTACCAGAGGTGTAACGTGACTCCTAGACACCCTGGGCAGTGGCAAGGCACAGGGCAGTGTCACTGGCGGTGCCCCTAGTCTAACATTACAGTCACTGACCCCTGGGGTCGTTGCTCCCCCTCATCCCCGTTCATTACACTACTGCTCAGTATCAATTCTAAACTTTATGCTGAACCTAATTAATCTGCTATCCAGCAGACCTCAGTGGTATCATGTGCTGGACAACTGGCATTAGCATTGTGCAGGTGACATACAAAGGGCTTCATCAGAAGGTGGAACAAGTGGAAAGGCAGTCTCACAATGGGTTTGGTTAGGCATTCAACTGTGCCTTGTTGCAGATGAATCCACTTGTGTCCACCCTCATTTCTAAAAGAGACTCCAATGAGGTCATATTTGCAGAGTGCACTAAACTCGAAGTCATAAGTTTTAAGTGTTATACAAGGGCAGACTTTCGTTGCTGGAGGGGCGTTCCAGTCCCACTGGGAGCTGCTCACATTAACAGTAGGTTTATGGGGACACAGAGAAGACAGCAGCGCTGAACAAAAGGAGTGTGGGAACACTCAAGAACTCCATCTGGATGTTCTTTGCTGTAATTCTACTCAGCATTTATTAGCATTTTTCATTTTAATCACCACAACACTTCTACGAGGAAGGAAAGAATTATTCCCTGACGTGAAAAAGACACAGTGACACACTTAGCAGCCCATCTACTAAGCAGCAGATGGTATCAGTGGTGGAATTAAAATCTGAGAGGCCTAAACACTTTGCTTAGCCCATTAGGCCATGCTACCACTGTTCAGGATTCAGATGAATCCCACACGTACAGAAAAACTCCTCTGCCCAGACTACTACCAGTTCTTACTCACTCTTCTCTAAGAGCCAGGTCATTCAGCCCACAGACTTTTGCCTCGACTCTGGCAGGGATGGGGGCCAGATGAGTGTGGCACCCCTGGTTTAGATAATGCAAATACAACTTCACTGAAGGTGGTGATCAAAAAAAATTTTTTTTAAATCAGATGACCTGAGGAAGGGCACTTGATGCCCAAAAGCTTGCCCAATCACTCTCACACCTATACAGTTGGGCCAATAAAATATAATACAAACAAGGCTTGCCTTGTGATAAAAAAAAAACACTCTTTCTAATAGAAAATCCATTTCTCACCTGCCTACCCCGCTTCTTCCCAACTGCTGCAGGGACTGCTAATGCAACTCATGAAGCCACTCCTAACTCTGCCCTTTTGGTGGATGTTATAAATAAAGACAGAAGTAGGTGACAAAGGAGCACCCTGACCAGAGTCAGCTGTAGAACTGAAAGCTCCTATGATATTTTGACTTAGTACTAAAATATAGAAACACTGCTGTTAATCAATTTTTACTGAGCTAGATATGACTCTCTCTCAAGTATCTGTCATCACACTTTGCTATCCACACAGGCTGGTTAAAGATTAATGATAAAAAGGTGAAAAACGAAGAATGTACCTAAACCTGCTTACAGGGGTGTAGGTTGTAGCCGTGTTGGCCTCAGGACATAGGCAGACAAGGTTCTTTGGGTGAATCTGATATCTTTTATCAGACCAACTTAAATGGTTGGAGAACAACTTTTAAGCAAGCTTTCAGGTTCAAAACCCCTTGTTCTCCAACTATTTAAGTTGGTCTAATAAAAGATATCAGATTCACCCAAAGAAACTTGTCTGCCTAAACCTGCTTGTTTGTTTTAAGTACAATTTTCTTTTTCAAATAACCTATTTAAAGTTGCATAATGATGGCAAATTACAAAGGATTGTACTAACTATAATTTATTGAAATACTCTGAATTATGTAAAAATATTCAAGCAGTACAAGCCAAACAAAGTTTTAAAGAAAGCCAAACCACTGAAGTGGTGGAACACACTGGCTAGACCCCTGGAGTCAGAGGTTATGGAAGTGCTAAGCCACCTTTTCAGAGCTATAGCCTCTGCTACGGATGCAGAGAAAATGTTTTCTTTATTTTATCTAGTTTCATACAGTTCAATGACTAACTCATACAAAGTTGAGAAACTGAGTAGGAGTAGAAAAAAAATAGGAAAGCTGGTTTCCCACTTCCAACCCCTGAATAAAAATATTCTGTGACAGAAGATGAGATCTACTAGTTCTAAAATCCAGGGTAACATTGCTGCCCGTTGAGTTCACTTTCTTCAGATTTTACTATCAAAATATAGTATAGAAATGTCTTGAAATTTAGAACTGAAATGTCTTGAAATTTAGAACTGAAAAACTCAACATTTTCAAGCCACTGTACCTTTACAAACAGCAACTCCCAAATTCAATACTTTGGTTTAAAATACAGTTCTATTTCAAGTAGTATGTGAAAGCAGCATCTTTTTATTCAAAAGACCTAGTCCCTGAATCATAGCTGTCTATTTTAAAAACCCCCAAAAAATTCCTGCTACCATTCTACTTTGGCTTTACTTTTCAGACCCATTCCAGAGACTTCATGACAAAGTGCCAATGAGTTACTACCCTGCTAAAGCACTGACAGCAATGGAGACTCACAAGCATCGTTAAGAGTCTTGTGTGTCCTATAAGACCTTTATTAGTGGAGATGATACATCAGTTTGGAAAAAAAAACAGTTTAAGACCCCAGGCCATGTTAGAATAGTTGCCATTAAATACCATTCAGTGCAACCACTATGCCAGAAAGCAAAATTTCATCCATATTGCAGGATTCCACCATTTGAAAGCCATTCCATACACCTAAAACAACATGCCTGGAACTTGTAGTCTCTTGACAACATGAGCAATCCTCTTAGGTCCAATTACAGCAAACTTCACACATTTCTGATGGAAATCATTGAGATAAATAGCAGGAATGTCATAATACCATTTTTACACTTGCAGTATCTACAGCAGAAGGAATCAGAACTCATGGTAGAGGTAATATCTTTTATTTAGTTGGTCTAATAAAATATATCACCAGTACCACGAATTCTGATTCCTTTTGCCTCTAGACCAATATGGCTACAACCTGGATACCTACAACAGAAGTACATTTTAACAAATATAGTTTATTTTTAACAATGAAATATACCATGATTATTATAACGTTTTAAAAATAAGGCACTCCAAATTTTCAACTACGCTGGAAACAAACACAGGACTATGACTTGT